CGCTAGAGCTGCACCATGAGGCTGCATGCACCAGGCGCCAACACCCCCCCATCCCCCTCTCCATCACTCGGATCCATGCAATAGGCACATCAGCCCAGACCAACCTGGGCATTATGATTGATGAGGTGGTATATGATAATAAACGTATTCCACATGCAAGACGGTTCTAGCCAATGTTCAGCATGACATTCCAAAGTCTGTACTAATCCTGATAGCAGCAACGGCTTGACTCTCTGCATGGTCTTTGATAGGATTCTAGGCATGAAACGCATGTCAGAATCTAATTAGATACTGACACAGCAGAGTCACTGTTTTGGAAAAGGAGGGATGTATTTTGTGATTCGGCATTCTCGGTTAATAATCGTGTAATTTTGTGGAAAATATATCACCAAATGAGTTATTCATAGTGTTGATATGTTTACTCTTAGTATACCTCATCATCAATACAATTTCTGAATGTACAAATGGTTGATGCTTCAAAGAGGGATGTGCATCCCAGGTCCCACTCCCTGCATCAGTGCATGGTGTGAATGCGGTAAGCCAGTTCTAGGGGTCAGGCCAACATTCAAGTAACGCTTCTCAAATTCATTAGCATGATAAACATGCGTGTCAGTTCACACAGCAACATGCTTTAATGCTGGGAATATATACTACATGTACTCATCTTTTGATAAGAATATTCTGAATGTCCCGTTTGGGGCTGAACGAGTACGATTGTTTGGAAGTGTCGTCATACAAGTAGTATCTGATACTGCAGTGGAATTTAATCATTTGGGTTCATTTCAAGATAATTAACAAACATAAATAATTCAATAATATTTTGTCGACTAATTTTTAAAAAGGATACAAATTCCAGCATCCCTATCAATTGTGGAGTAGTATACATACATGTACTTGCAACTATTTTAGTTCTCAGCCTCCAGTTCATACAGTAGTTCCTACCAATTCTTATTTTGAAGAAAGGATTAGGTCCTTCTGGTCAACTGAAGTGCTGAATTATAAAGTTACGGAAAATTTAAATATTTGTTATATGTTTGTTGAAAATGTTTGTTATATACAGATGACTATAGCCTGTTTCTCTCTTCATCACTTTATGTTTCTTGAGTCTGTGACATGATGAAGCACAAATGTTTGGTTAAAATGAGTCCTGTTTTAAGAATCTTACTTAAAAGGAAATCTGTGATCTGTGATGCCATACCTCTACATTTACATTGTCATAAGCCCAACAAATACCATCCTCGCGGAGGCAAGAGAGTTAACTGACTTTAAAAGTCCAGTTCCCACCCTTGCCGAACTATGCTGGAATTACAGGACTCGATTGTAGCGCCACCAGTGGCTATTACCAGTTATGTCCCTTCTAAGCCATTCCTATGGACCAATCAGATTCCACCGCTCGTATCACTTGCGTTTGCTTCAAACAAAATGCTGGCGCCCAGTCAGGATGATCTGATGGATATTCAAGATCTATACTGTGATAAAACGGGTCTTACATCGCGAAATGCATCAAATCACGTGAGCACCTTGTTTAAAAACATGAAAAGATTTGGAAAATATCTGCTGACAACAAGTTGGCGGTGCACATGCTTTGCAAATCATGCAATCGATTGAAATCTGCACGACAGTTTACGAACCGGATTTCACTTTCGGTGCCTGATTTTGATTGGACTATGCATAAACTCGTTAGTCCTGCCAAAATGGAACTCCATAGTACCAGCCTAGTTAGGCAAGAGTGGAAACTGGACTTTTATAGTCAGTTAACTCTCTTGCCTCGGGAAGATGAACAAATACAAGGATCAACAGAACAATGTCATAGTCTCATTCATGACAACACATCTCATAACTTTCAAAATATGTTTTAAAAGTTCTCCTTACTTCATAACAATGCAGATTTCACAATTCCAAAAATAATGACATTTTGGAAACGTTGATCATTATTTAATCAAAAAAGTACGAAACAAAGGAGATTGTTCTTTAAATTTTAGTTCAAACCAAAACATCAACATTACAAATCATAAAATTTTGCTGCAAGCCCTAGTGCAGATGTAAAAAAAATTCATTTATGGAACTGAGACGCAAGGAAATATTGATTTATTTACATAAATCAAATTATTTACATAAATTTATCATCTTCCCACTGACTTAAGTTTAGATAAACAATGAAACATGGTATCATATTAGGAAACATGGTGAAATTTAAGTTATTAAGAAAATATCATCTCTTTGTGCACTAATATCAAATACATGTCAAGTATTTATCTAGCGTAACCATAATCTCCTGAATGTACTCAGAACAGGCTCGGCCAAACCATGCCTCAACTAAGATTTCATCCAAATACATTTCGTGAACACCCGATCCTTGATTACCTTCACATCATGTGGATACCAAAAACAATCTTCTTTAGTTGTCCCAACACCCAAACTGATTTTCTGAATCCCCACCCTGTCAAAATATTGTCGGACAACCTAAAAAAAACTTCATAAATAATTGAGTAAACTGGTGAGATGACCCCCGCAGAACCTGGCCAATGGGCCGGAAGCATGCTGCTTGACATTGTACTGGTAAAGACTTCCATATTTCCAATTTTGCTGAAATCTTTGCTTTGTATAAGGAGTAATTATTCCCTAATGTTAAACACCTATGGAGAGACAATCCAACCTGCAACAGGTGTGGTGCACATGGTATGTAGACAATAGATGCAGACACCATCTAATGGAGAATGACCTTCCCAAGGTCATGGGTTTGTTGACTTAAGGAGTTTTTTCTTGCATTAATGACACCAAATGTGAACCACTATTTTAAACAATTGCTCATTTTTCAGGCTGAAATATTTTGCTGTGCTTTGCGGTTTGGTTACAGGATTTGTGTTGTGTCTAGCTTCACTGGGTGGTGTTAACTGGCTTTAATGTATGTTCCAGAAGACGATGCAGATATCGGTTACCTATTATATCAACATAGCCTCAAAAATAGATGAAGACAGCTGACTCTTTTAGCATCCTCTTTAAACAGGAACAAACCTCGGCAGAAAGAGGAGAAATGGAGGGGTAGTTACATCTTTTTCGAACTTTTCAAGGATCAGTTCACAGGCAATTTGTCTGACAGTTTTCAAATCATTCAACATGTCATTATCGTGTATGTTTCTAGCTAATTCCTGTAATGTAGTTCCTAGTTTGGTTGTAGTCACTCGTTTTGGGACAAATAGGTTGTTGACAGGAGTTGACGTAGATTATGTCAGCCAGGCTACACTCCAGTTGCCTAAAAGATGGAGACCAATCTAGCCCACAAGTGACAAAAAATTGGAGTCATTTTCAAAAAGGCAGTCATTTTTAGTTATGGGGTCATTTTCATGAAGGCGGTCATTTTCGTTCTGTGCTATAATCACAGTTATTAGGCATCAACATGATGGCAACAAATTATCATATCTTTATTAAAGTGGTAAACAAATTAAATTTACAAATATGAATTTTCCAAAAATGTTTAATCAACACAGGCATGTTTGAAACAATATGAACAGTACTGGTTTCAATTGAACCTCTTTTTTACATGTTATACCATGTTTAAACTACTATGTGGTTAAAGCATTCGCTCGTCACGCCGAGGCTCGGGTTCGATTCCCGACATGGGTACAATGTGTGAAGCCCATTTCTGGTGTCCCCGGCCGTGATATTGCTTGAATATTGCTATAAGCGGCATAAAACCATACTCACTCACTCACAAAATACCTTACATACAGTAAATTTCGATATAATGAACTAAAAGGGGGCACTAATTTTAGTTCGTTATAACCGTAGTTTGTGAAAAGCATATATACAGCATAAAAACACAAATGGCCGGGACCCAAAAATAAGTTTGTTATATTCGTCAGTTCAATTTAAGCGTGTTCGTTATAAATGTAGTTTACTCTACTGAATTTGATAAACAGTCTTTCTACAGTAAATGAGCGCAGCATCCGATTCAGGCCACAAGGCTGCTGCTGTCGTCTTGTAACTGTTGGGATGAACTGGGACCTATAGGCACTATCTCCCTCCAATTATTCCGATAAACTTTCTAACATATGTCAATCATTTCAGTGTCTAAATAAAACAAAAACTGAATAACTAACAACATATCAGTAACTTTAACATTATGTACACTAAATATGACAGGTCATATACAACTGTTTTAAAAAAAACAAAAATGCATGTACCTTCTGTTCAATTACCAAGAAGTCCCATAGACCTTTCAGAAACCGATTACTTATAGACCATAATGCGAAATGAAGATGTCATGGACTGTGATGGAGGGTGCTAGAAACATTTATGCTGTTCACTTCTGATGTAAACATACCAGTCAGTGAAGTACGTTGACGAATGCTTATGTCATAAGATAATGTGACAATTTGGTTGGTTGGTTTGTTGTTTTACGTCGCACTCACCAATATTCCAGCTATATGACGGCGGTCTGTATATAATCGAGTCTGGACCAGATAATCCAATGATTAATATCATGAGCATCTCATCAATCCCAATATGACATGCATCAACCAAGTCAGCAAGCCTGACCACCCGATCCCATTAGTCGTCTCTTACGACAAGCATAGTCGCCTTTTACGGCAAGCATAGGTAGCTAAAGACCTATTCTGTCCCGGATCTTCATGGGTCTACAATTTGGTGACAAAGATGTTGAACTATTGCAAAGTTTAATGAAAGCATGTCGATTAAACCTTACAAACTGGTCTGGCTGAATATTTAATAGTTTTTAAAGGACTTTTTAACATTTTGGCATCAAGTAGTACCAGCTGTATATAAAGTGAGGGAATCAAGTCTAACAAAACTTTTAACAGTATTTAAGTCAGCTCAAAGTGAACCAGGTAAAAGACATTTACCACTTTGGCAAAGTTCATGATACAAAGCAAAGATCAAGCATTCTAATCTTGGCAGATATGGGATTTGAACCCATGACAAACAGATCCTGGTACAGCCAAGGGAAGCAACTCTGTGTGAAGATGAAAAATAGTACTCACCATCGCCATGAGTGTAAGCACATAGTGCTTCAAGTCCTCCTTGTGGTACTGCCTCATGGAATCATCCACTACAACTAAAGTCTCCACGAATCTCTTTAAAGATGCTGATCGCTTCCGTCGTTTGTGGTATATAGAATTGTCATTATTATTATTATTTTCATAATTATTATTATTTACATTATAAGATGATGATGATTGTGATGTTGAATATCCTCGTATAGTCTCTCGCTTTAATCTCTGGTGTTTATAATTTTCTGAAACAAAGAGAAAAACATGATTAATTTACAGTTTTGCAATTATTGTATCATAAATACCACATTCATCCTAATAAAAGTTCTGGGAGAAAATTAGAAAGTGTGAATTATTTTTTCACAATAATGATCGGCAGCTTTCCTCAAAAGTTCAATGTAGGATAAAGATATACTCCCATCCTAAACTAAATTGTGAAAATGTTGACATCCTCCAAAAGATTCTATCGTCAAGCCAATCCTGCATGACAATGATTCATAAATATGCTGATAGGGCAGATTATGTACTTTGACTGCCTTTTCTCAACTCGTTCTTGCACCAATAATGGGCATCATGTTTATTTCCAGCGTTAAATGTGACAATTACAGCTGTTATGTATGGATTTAAACTGTAAATCATCTAAAAAAAAGACCTTTAACCCTCCCGTGCCCAAAATTAAGGTATTTACCGGTAGTTCTTATCTGACCTCAAACTTTTAAAGTGCTCCATTAGATGTTAAGTCTCATGTCATTAGTTGTTGGTTCTTTTGGACTCAAATATAATCATGCTGAACAATTGCACTAATTAATTGATAAAATAAGAGCTACAAGACACTGTAGCTCACCTAAATTTATCTGAACTATGTGCACCACTAGATGATAAAAGGATCATCCATGCAAGGTTTCAGCATCATTGCCCCGACTTAAGATCACTAAAACCTTTGGTTCAGGTGAGCTAACAATGTAAAATAATAATATTGGTAGAATATCACATTCCTTAGCTCCATGGGGTGGGGTGGAGTGGGATGAGGTGAGGTGAGGTGAGGTGAGGTGAGGTGAGGTGAGGTGGGGATTAACATCATCTTCAAGATTATCTCACTTATATAGCAACCATCATGTCTGTCTGTCTGTCCGCACTAATGCCTGTTATATAGTGCTAGTTCACTGAGATACCATGCCAGTTATACATGAATACCCCACTCAGACACAATACATTGACTCCAAGCCGACCAATCCTTGTTTTAGCCCTTTAATGCCGAGCCCCAGCCAGGATAACATCCAGTTCTGCCTTTCAACATTTTTTTGTTTCATGTATCTTGGGATCGAACTACAGACCTTGTTCTCAGGCAAACGCTCCACCCACTAGACCACGGAGTCGGTCTTGAATACAAGACAGGGAGAGCCCGATTCATCCATGCTCCATCCATGCTCTATATGTGTTAGGTAATGCAGTACAGTTGTGATACTGGATGCAAGACATATTATACAACATTCTAAGATGCCAGTTTCTGTATGTGGATCCAAGGGTCCTGGGGTGCAAACATCCATCTTTAAAACTCACATACACGTCAGTTCGTGAATTTTCAACCCAAAACATTACACCTACACATTGCTCAATTCTAATTGAAGATCCTGGGTAGAATAGGTCATCACCAACCCATGCTTGCCATGAAAGGTGACTGTGCTTGTCGTAAGTGACGACTAACGGGATTGGGTGGTCAGGCTTGCTGACTTGGTTGAAGCATGTCATCGTATCCCACTTGCGTGGATTGATGCTCATAACATCAATCACTGGATTGTCTGGTCCAGATCGATTATTTACAGACCGCCATCATATAGCTGGAATATTGCTGAGTCCGACGTTAAACAACAAACAAACAAACAAAACAATTCTAATTTGGACCATCCTGTACATATATATATCTATTAGTATGTTTTGAAGCTGTTTATGATAATACCAAACAAAAACCGAGACATTTTCAGATATGAATCAAAAACTTTGCTGATACATCAAAAATCAATATTTGCTTTTCAATCCTAAAACTGCCTCCATTAGGTTTCCGTTTTCACTCTCAGAATCTCTGTTTCAAGAACCCGAACAGTTTCCATTATGTAACGATTATCATTCAATAATTCAGGCCTTAGATTCTGATGTCTCTTCGTTTTTATTCCAACATTACTTGATCGTTGTGACATCACCCAAGTCAGAATGACCTGGTTGGTGTAAGGCTTCCGCACAGAATGATACCATACTGTCCACAGAACCATTAGGCACTCCAATAGCGCCAATGTCCGCCCTGATGCTACAAGACCAGTTGAAGAAGAAACCTTACTAAAGTGGCAGATCCATGCCCTCGTAGCCTACAGCAGGGCAACTTCCTCTCAAAAAAGTCAAATCGTGAGCTATCCTCAGTACAGAAAGGTCAAGGCCACACTGCGATAGCTTCCAGAGACAAGTGGAAGGACTCTCACCTGACTGGTATTAATATGGTTGCAACATGGCTGACACACATGCAGCCATGGGCATTGTAAATACTGAGTATCACCAGTTTCTTCTTGTAGTGAGAGTTTTTAGGTATATGACTGTAGCTCACCTGGATATGTAATCAACAGTCTAAAATGTCATAGAAACTTGCTGTCAGCATTGCTACTCAAATATTGGCTGCTAAATACAGAGGGCAAAAGTATTGAAAAATATGAAACATATAACTAACTGTCCACAATGTTTCTAAATCTGCACTTATATACTACTGTACAGTTAAATTTAGTTTACAGTGTTTCAACTCCGAGCCTCATAATACTTCAAAGGAGATTTTTCTAATTCCATAACATTTTAAAAATTGTTTCACTGAAACACAGAAATATCCATAAGATTTAAACATAATAAGATGTAATCACAAGGAAAACCATACATGCTTATGTTCAGCTTTCTCAGCATCGCAATTGTTACAAAGAATAAAAATGCATCTTGAGATAATTTAAGATTAATAAAGTACAGTTTGAGCAGAAATGCCGGAGCAATGGCCATGAACAGGTTTTTTCAACATAACAGCTGTGACGACCATATTGAAATCAGATTCAAGTCTCTTGAGCTACTTTTGTCATCATCGGTAAATGTTTGTTTGTTTGTTTGTTTGTTGTTTAATGCCGCACTCAGCAATATTCCAGCTATATGACGACGGTCTGTAAATAATCGAGTCTGAACCAGACAATCCAGTGACTGACAGCATGAGACTCAATCCAAGCAACTGGGATACGATGACATGCATCAACCAAGTCATCAGTGAGCCTGACCACCCGATCCCATTTGTCGCCTCTTACGACAAGTATAGTCACCTTGGGTATGGGCTGCAGAGGACCTATCCTAACCGGGATCTCTAACCATTGGTTAAATAACCAAGAAAACAAACGTACTATAAAACTTGTTTAGCATTTTTTAAGACCTTTTTTTTTCATCTATTTAATACTAGTTTTTCAACCATTACAAATGATTGCAAGCAATCAGTGCTAAGTGTTTTTTCACTACAGGGTTTATTTTGAGGGAGTATGGTTGTTGACCACTCTCAGCAATATTCCAGCTATACCACTGGAGATATACACCAGAAATGGGCTTCACACATTGTACCCATGTGGGAAATTAAACCTGAGACTTAGACATGACAACACCTTAACCCTTAGGCCGACCCACAACTTCCATATTACAAGTTGAAAATGTCCAACACAAACAACCCTCATCTATTTCCCTCCAAATTCACATAATAAAACAACACTGATGACATTGTCCTTCCATTAATTCAGTGTCCGTTATTCAACCCACCTGTGACTAAAAGAAATCTTATCACGTTCGTAAGCCATAAACCACCACATGCAAGTCAGTGACCGCTCCCAACCTACACGCACACTACTGTTATTGTTTTCCTAATGGGGATATCCCAGCATCCCCTCTCTCCGTAAGTAACCTCAGCCGGAACGGAAGACTCAGGTGTTTTGCATATTCCTGGTAATTACAACCTTGGATGGTTTTCTATCAGCGATGGTGTATTCATGGTTGAAATACAGCCTACGCCATTAGAACAAAGTTGTACCATATTCGACTTGGTTAACAGATCCCAGCAGATGTGTTTACTGTAGGGAATTGGATTTATTTATACTGATGAATCTTTCACACTGTTAAAATAACTGTTTAGAATGAAAACTCAGATTTCCATAATGTCTTAAGGTGGTTTCTGTTAGCCCCAGTTCTGGGGACCGTCTCAAAACATTCCACATAGTATTTACATAACATGTTTTTATTGGGTTTAGGGGAATTCTCCAAATTCAATTAGGCCAGGATATTTTTTCTTGTTTATAGAGTTTCTTGGCCAGTATGTCAAAATGTAGGCAGCAAATGCAAAATGGAAATGATGATTTGAGGGTAATTACCAGAAAGTTGTTTTTATTACCTGAAAAATATTTCAAAAACTATATTCAATTTAACAGCATTCACTGCTTTTTTTTCTTAATTACTTAAAGAGCACTTTTTTATTCTTTTCCGTTTGATGATTTGACCAATCAGAGCTAAAAACCAAATCAGAAAATACAATAAAAATTGTTGAAATTAATTCTTATTTGCAAAAATGCTCTACCTTTGATGAAAAGATACTATTAATAAATATAACAATAAGCAATGTCATTTATGATAAGTAGTCAAATGCATTTCATGAATTTCTTTAGTAATTGACTTCAATATTTTTTGGGTTTATGGATGTAAAAACGCGTTGGAGTGAGTGAGAATTGTTATAAGCCGCTTTTAGCAATATTCAAGTAATATCTCAGCGGGGGACACCAGAAATGGGATTAACGCATTGTACCCATGTGGGGAATCAAACCTGGGTTTTCAGCGTGACGAGCGAACACCTTAACCACTAGGCTACCCCACCGCCCCTAATACGAGTTGGAAACAATGCACACAAACACATCTCAACATTTGATTCTGACAGATGTTGAATTTGTATGCATGCTGTTTCAAATGTACTGACAGTAAAGATTATTTCCCTATATTTTCCATTATTGCCTTATTTGTTTCCATCAGTATATTATCAGACCCCCAGGAAACAGCAGTGCAGTAGTGGGCGTGGTCTATGTTTTGTAGGTGTACAGAACATTAATGATAAAAAATTGCTGGTTAGCCATGTTATATAAATTACTTGCCATTTATTTATTACATATAGTCTCTGGCAGGTGAAAACACTTCATGAAGAGAATAAACCATTATCGTGTTACTCTGAACATGTAAAATAATAACTTCTGAAATTTGAAAAGGATTTACTTTTTCCTCCTGAACAGACCATCCCAAATACAAAAAAATATCTTGACCTCCACAAATTTATTTTTGTTCCAAAACCTACCCAAGCTATTTGGTATAAAACTCTATAAAACTCTATCAACAATCAAATAGTGAGTGTGTTCCGTTAAATAACACTGTTGGTCTTAAACAGTATGGCAGTAATATTGTGGAGAGTCTGCTTGATTCTGATGGAAAGCTGAAGTGATGCAGGTCTCAGAAAGTGTATGTTAAACCCAACTCACTCACTCACTCACTCAGAAAGTGTAAGCCACAGCATGGGTACAATGCTCACAAACCTAGACACATTATTAGGGCCAGCTAGAATTCAAACCCATGATCATATGTAAAGCACACCTGAGACATACAACTCTGCACAGAGATTTGCAGCACCTTAGTCACTGGGCACCTGCACCATCAAACACTCAAACAGTGGGGCTTTAATAATACTTCAGGACAGGTTCATTAGTAAAACATGTAAGAAATTGATCAGGCCTAAAATCCATGAAGAAATTGCTATGCTTTTTTTCACAAAATAAACATACTTGATGGCAGTCATCATGGTTAATGATGAAAATGTAATCTAGAAATGTATTTATAAATTATTAATTAACGATATTTCTTCCCCATGGGCAATGAATAGCTAGTTATTGACACATCTGTCACCAGACTTCAGAGCTGTTGAAGTCTTTCTCGGGTTGCAGTTCACAAGGGACGGGTCTCCAATACATTATTTCATGATCAGTTTTAATATTTCATCTGCTCACTGCTGGGACTGATGCTGCTCTACCTCATCTAACTGGGCATGAAGAGGACCCTGGGGAATGTTATCCGAATCCAAAAGGGGTGCTATTGTTAATACGACATGACAGTCATCAGCAGCTTTTGAGAACATGCTATGCAGGATCATTTATTTTGACATCTTTGAAAAGTTGACTCACTCCTCTCCTGCAACATGTATAGAATCAATAAACACATTCAGGGATGGTGATCTGCTTCATCCATGTCCTCATCTAGAACTATATTCGGTTGGGGAAGGAGATGGGGAGACCTCAGAGAAATCTGCCGACATGCAGGTCATGGTGGACCATGGATTGTATTGGTCGCACAATAGCTAACTTTATCATTTATGAATCGGGCATGGGCTTTCCAGTCATCCAAGATGTTGCAATTCCCTGTGCAGAGTTACATCCCTTAGTTGTACAAGGATCTTATGATTACAGCATGAATTTTATATTTGACTTGATTGTGATATTTGGTTTGGCAGCAGTGATTAGGTAATTTGTTGTTCCTTTACATGAGGGACATTGTCAGAAATACTCTTATCAGAATTGCCCTAATCTATATAATCGTGTACTTTATATCACATCACCATGGGTCAGGTACAGACACTATCTACTCCACGAGTCTGATAATAGAGGAAGTCTGGAAGGATTAGTTGTCTTCTTCCAAATCTAGTCATGTTTGTAAACAGACTCGGATATCAGCTGTGAACTTCAGTGAAACCATGTTAGTCAGGAAGCCTCAGTTAGGCCAGAAACCCTATTCATCAGAAAACCCTGTTCGTCAGAAAACCCTGTTAGTCCAGTAACCCTGTTAGTAAAAAAACCCTGTCAATCTGAAAATCCTGTTAGTCAAAAAACCCTGTTTGTCAGAAAACCCTGTTAGTCTGGAAACCCTGTTTGTCAGAAAAAAAAGTTAGCCCGGAAACTCTTCAAGTATGGAAACCCAGCGAGAATAAAAAAAACTGTTACATAAACATACACATAATGGGACATGTTTTTTTATTCCAGACAATTTCACAGGGATAGGTGTACATTGTGTCTAGGGCTGTTGATGCTCATAAATGTTGAAATTACTATCTAATAGTGCACACTTGAAATGATTGGATCCCTGAAATGTAGGATTGGCATAAAATACCAAAAGTCATTGTGTGACCAGAGCAAGACATGTTTCTAGGGAGGTCATTGTGTGACCAGAGCAAGACATTTTTCTAGGGAGGTCGCAGGTTACACAGGTGTAACAAGTACTAATGAACCTACTCACCTGTAATAGTGCAGCTTGCTGCAGCAGCAGAGTGCTGGTGATTTATTATTGGATATTTATGAATTATATGTGGACGATGCTCCAGCACCATATTATTTGTTGAAGATGAATTTTTTAATGGTTCGATGATATATTTTTCTTGGGGTAGATGAATCATTCCCATCTGAAAAGAAAAAAAACCAATTTGATAAAATCAATGCAAACATTCATCTTAATAAATACATAAACATCAGAGTCCAAACACCCACTACCATCACAACACAACAAACTAGCTGGTTCAGTGGTGTCTATGTTGATCCAAACCATCTGTATGGATCTGTATGGATGGATCTGTTTATGGATGCTGTTTGTTATTTCATATCACACTGGTTCGGTCACAACAGATGAGATGTGTTAATTGGTTTCATACCAAGCAACCAAGGGAAATTATACCCGTATGTCCTGCCTGCAAGGCCGGCTAACTCCAAGACCTCTGTGCTAACCAGCCCTGCAACCAACCATCAAGCACTGCATATGATATTCTCGTAATACAGTGTATATATTTCTGACTTGTCACTAGTATTGGAGCTGATATGATTACACTGAATAATGGATTGTAAAGAATCTTATATTAATTCTTTTGTAATTGAATTATTTGCCACATTCTTGGCTCGTTTGTTTGTTTGTTTAAACGCCGCACACAGCAATATTCCAGCTATATGATGGCAGTCTGTAAATAGTCGAGTCTGGACTAGACAATCCAGTGATTGACATCATGAGCATCGATTTATTGAATTGGGATACAATAACATGCATCAACCAAGTCAGTGAGCCTGACCACCCGATTCCACTAGTCGCCTCCTACGACAAGCATAGGCCTCTCTGAGGAAAGCATGGGTCCTTGAAGAACTAATTGAAAAAGATATCCAGTTTCTAACTAAAATCCCAGAGCACCCCCAACACCCCCCTCCGTTATGACGTTGCGTGAGTGACATCTGGGCCACACGCTCCCCCCCTGACATAATAAACATTGTCTCCCAATAACAATCCATACTCGAAGCATGGTGGGATTAGAGTGCTAATATTAGGGGAAATACTGCAATACTTGATTACTAAAAAGTGAGTGAGTTGGGTTTAACGCCGCTTTTTAACAGAATTCCAGTTATATCACGGCGTGTCAGCTTGATGTGGGAGGAAAGCCCAAAGTGATGCAGGTCTCAGACGTTTACCACTTCAGTGAAACCCACAAGCACGGGTATGGTGCTGACAAACCTAGAAACATAATCGGGGCGAACCGGGATTCAAACCCACAATCATAGGTTTCTGATGCAACTCTGCACAGCGAATCGCGGCACCTAAGATGACTGGGCAACCCGTGCTGCCTATCAGAAATTGATGAAGGGATGAAGATCTCACCAGATGCAGCAGCATCACGGCATAACTGCCATCCGGAAATAGCCATGCTTCATTCTCATCAACAAATGCACCACATTCTATCAAGCACCATATAATGAATCCATATTGAAATCTGTCAGTGGTGTAATAAGTACATGAGCCTGAGTCACAGATGAGCCATGAGTTGTACAGATACAACAAGTCCGCAGCCATTTTAAACAACACAAGTACCCACAACACACTGCCTTTCAGAACCATCTTGTCCAGTGAATGATCATAAACCAAAAACGATATTGTTGCAACAATTTCGGGGGCAAATTATTATACACTCATTTCTGCTTTCTGTTGTCAAAGAACGAACCTAAATTATTACTTTTTATATTTTTTTTAAATCCCAAGGATCATAATCAGAAAAATCTCCTGCTATGACACGGGAAACAACTCAGCATAGTGAGTGAGTTAGTGAGTGAGTGAGTGAATGAGTTGGGTTTAACGCAGCCTTTAACAGTATTCCAGTAAAATCACGGCGTGTCATGGGATGTTGGGAGGAAAGCCCGAAGTGATGCAGGTGTCAGAAGTTTACCACTTCGGTGAAACCCACGAGCACGGGTATGGTGCTGACAAACCTTGAAACATAATCTGGGTGAACTGGGATTCAAAACCACAATCAAGGGACGCAACTCAGCGAATTGCAGTACCATAGACGACTGGGCCACCCGTGCCCCCCTCAGCATAGTAAATGTGGTATCCCTGTGTCATGTGTGCCCTGACAAATGGTGGTTGAGATGTTGCTGGCTGCAGACAACTACCTTAATAACTCAATAAAACAATTTTAGAAGCTGTGTTCCATTTAAAACACTCAATAAAGGTACTAGTTCCTGTACCAAACATCTCACTGACATAAATACGAAGTTGAAATCCACAAGTCAACTCGGTCTTAACTCAAAAGACCCATTCATCAAAGGCCCACCCTCATACAACATTATCTATCAACCTGTCTGTTGGAAGTGACCAATTTGTCAGAACAAAACAAGAAATGACTTCTTCCTTTACACCTCCCCTTTAATTCTTTATCCTCTTGTCAACACTCAGTCAAAATACACTTACATCGCTGACTGTAACAACCGTCAACAATAAACAAAGCTCACACAAAAAGGGGAATCATTCTCGCAATTCTTTTAACCAGCGTCAAGATTTATAACAAATTGCTGCACATGTCCTTTGAACTTTGTTTTGAGTAAACAGCAAACCCCACACAACATTAGTCTCAGAATACCAACGTTCAAATAACTTTCATTTTTTAATTGTTGTTTTTTTATCAGGCCCCCTGCCCATCTTTTGCGCGTATAAAAAACGCAAACTGATTAGTCTGAATCAAGCTGCACCTGTTGTTCGTGCCACTGTAAGACGTTTTGAGGGAAGTAGCACAGCCATGCTTGGTATATCTGGACATTAGCTGTCAGGAAAACACTCTCCCATCTCCAGATATCCCAAGATGCTCTTCATCATGAGATAGCCATCTAACCTTTGCACTTTCCATCAAGCCAGGTGAAAGAAGAAATCATTCAACTGTTTTGCTGGGCTTTCTCTTCTTTTGTGGCAAGCTATCTGCCCTGAGATACACACTTGGCAGGCTTTCTCAGGGAAAATTAATATTTGTCAAGGAGATCTTCACAGGAAGACACATTGCATGTTTTCAGTACAAAGCAAACAGATGAAAGCTTTTCTTGTTAAATTAAGGTCTCTCATTTGTGGTGATAAGTGTTACTCTATCTTTTACGAGCTTCTGTCAGCATCAGGACCGTATCCACTAGGGCTGGGATGAGTCCAAACTCACTACCCAGGTACCCGACCCACTATTACCCAACCCAATCCAGGTACCCGCTGTAGGTCTCAAGAATTGGGTGCAAAATGTCTGATTGGGAATTGTTTTAACAGAGCCCTGGAAAAAACTATTTAGATACTCATATAAAACGATCTGATTATGCACACACTGAAGTTGACTGAAGCTTAATATCTTTACCCAAGCATATACAAGTCAGAGAGAATCTGTACATAGTCAGAAAGAAAGATGAACATTCATGACTTGTAGTGTAAGCGGGGAGTTTTATTTTTATTGTTATTAAACACTATATCATGTGTCTATCCACAGGTTCCGTCGTCCTATGGGTCCCGGGGTCCAACTCAGGACCCACCTGACCCAAGTACCCGAGTTACCCGTCCCAGCCCTAAAAATTAAATATCCACCATTGAAGCTGCAGGCTTTAGGGGACTGAGAGTCATAAATAAGGACCTTGAAAGTAAATCTGAACATGGTAAGTATGTGTCAAAAGTACACAAACAGAAACACATCATGCTTGTCATTTATCAAATGATGCAGGAGCTCCTCATTGTTATCTGACATCTAATCGATCCAATAAAGATTATCTTCAGAAGAGAATGCATGGATATGCAAAACTTGAGTAAACAAGAGAGCTACGTATGCAAAATATGTGAACGTCGTATAAGTCGACCTCAACACAGGCAGAGCCCCAAATACAAGGGCCTGTCACAATGATTTATCTCCTAACACCACAGGAATTATTGAACAAAATATGTGAGCATCGTGTAAGTCGACCTCAACACGGGCAGAGCCCCAAACCCAAGGGCCTGTCACAATGATTTATCTCTTGAACACTACAGGAATTATTGAACAAAATATGTGAGCATCGTGTAAGTCGACCTCATCACAGGCAGAGCCCCAAACCCAAGGGCCTGTCACAATGATTTATCTCTTGAACACCACAGGAATTATTGAACAAAATATGTGAGCATTGTATAAGTCGACCTCAACACAGGCAGAGCCCCAAATACAAGGGCCTGTCACAATGATTTATCTCCTAACACCACAAGAATTATTGAAAACTGTAGAAGGTGAACTATTTAAGTTGTGAACACAAAGCAACTTGATCCCTACAACCTGTGTGAACACCAGTGGTCTGTTTGAACACTTGAGGAAACAACACAACTTTATACCCACAAGTATAAACACCTGAGAATGTAAAAAAAACTACTCATTCCTACAGGTTTATACCTGTGAATGCGAGCGCATTTCCACAAACCTGGTTGAACACCTGGTAACACCTACAACATTATTCTCACAAGCCCGGTTGAACACCTGTGAACACCTACAACTTGAGTGCCACAAACCTGTGTGAACACCTACAACTTGATTCACACAAACCTGTTTGAAACCTGTGAACACCTACAACTTGATTCCCACAAGCCTGTTTGAAACCTGTGAACACCTACCACTCAATTCTCACAAGCCTGTTTGAACACCTGTGAACATCTACAACTCGAGTGCCACAAAACTGTGTAAACACATGTGAATACCAATAGACAACTCGATTCCCACAGCCTGTTTGAACACCTGTGAACATCTACAACTCGAGTGCCACAAAACTGTGTGAACACATGTGAATACCAATAGACAACTCGATTCCAACAGCCTGTTTGAACACCTGTGAACATCTACAACTCGAGTACCACAAAACTGTGTGAACACATGTGAATACCAATAGACAACTCGATTCCAACAGCCTGTTTGAACACCTGTGAACATCTACAACTCGAGTGCCCCAAACCTGTGTGAACAAATGTGAATACCAATAGACAACTCGATTCCCACAGCCTGTTTGAACACCTGTGAACATCTACAAGTTGATCCTTACAAGCCTTAGTGAACACAACAAGACATGTTGATCCCCACAAGCCTCTGAAGACCACACAGTGATTTGTAACCCCTGT